GGCGCGGGCGGCGCCTGTCCGCGGGAGGCGGCTGGGCGGCCTCTGCCCCTGCCCCCCGGGGTCCGCCCCCGCGCCGGGGGCGTGTCTCCGGAGGCCACGGTCGCCGCGCCCTCACCTCCCGCCCCGCGCGGCCTCCCGCAAACGCCGCGCCCGGCGTCCCTCGCCACGGCGCCCGCCCTGCGCTACCGAAGAGCAGAACGCCTCCTGGGCCAGGCCGAGGACTGCAGGAAGCCCGGGGCTAGGCCAGTTCGGAGACCAGACGCCCGCTCCCGCTCCCGGCCACGGGCAGCCCTGGGCAGCCACCTGGGGGAGGCGGGAGGCGGGGCGCGGGGGTTCGGGGTCCCCGACTCGGGTCGCCCTGGCCTCAGCAGACGCGTCCACCGCGCGCAGCTTCCCCCTCTCATCCCACCTCCCGGCAAACACGAAACGCAGGTGTGCTTCGAGCGTGAAGGGGCACAGCTGGGCAAGGCGAATCCCGTCCCCAGGGCCGCTCTGGGCAGGGCCACGTGGACCGGGCGCCCTTTGCAGGTGGCAGCTACTGATCTGAGGTGGGGCCAGAGACCCCTTCCTCAGAGAAGGACCTGTGTCCTTTAGCCACTGCAGCCTCCCACCCCAAAAGAGAAGGGTAAGGGGAAACGATTCCTGGTTCCCTCAACCCGCTGAGCCCCTGAATAACCAGTGCCCCCTGGCCTCTGAGCAATGCCTGGGCAAACCCCGCCATTTGCTTAAAGTGACCACTTGGAGGCACTAAGACTTTTAGAACCCCAGGCGGCCTCCAACCCGAGGTAACCAGCTGGGGAAGCGAAGAGCAGGCCAGAGAGATGGTGTCCAGGCCCAGAAATGCCTTCAGTGGGGGAGTGCGGGCCAGGCAGCAGCCAGCTTGTCAGAGTGGGGCAGGGTGCGATGGAGGCTGCCAGATGGCACGTGTCTGGAGTAGGGTGGAGGAGGTCGCAGGAATTCTCTAGAAAAAACCAGAGTGGGAGCTACATCAGAATTCCTTAGGAAATATGAAATCCCGTCACTGGCCATGGAGGTGGCGTTCACAGCTAAATACACAAGAGCCTCTAAGAGATGGTGCCACTTTGTTTAAAAAACCAGAGCTGACCAATGGGCTGCAGGCGGCATGGTCTCCGAGTCTGAGGTCCCAGAGCAGGCAGCGTCATCCCAGCACACTCCCTCCAACAGGCTGGCACAGGCCCTGCCCAGCATCTTGTTCAGAGTGTACCCAGATGTCTGAGTCTGTGTTGGCCCAAGGGTAACAGGATCAGCCCCCCACCACAAAGTGAACACCCAACAGCCCAGAAAGCAGGCGCCAGGCCATGAGGTAGGTGCCGCCCCTTGCAAGGTCATCCACCAGGCAGGCTCCTGAACCTTGCGGGCAGGGAGAAGCCGAGGCCCAGGAACAGGAGCTAGAAATCGAGCGGAAGTACACTGCTAAGCAAAACTGCCGTGAGGACTAGAGGTGCCGTGGGAGAGCAGCCAGCAGTGTGGAGGAACCCTGGAAAACGGGGACTGCAAGATGGGGCACCCTTTTAAGAAAAAGGTGGATTTTGCAAACTACAGGTCAGGGAATGGAAAAGGATCCCCAACCAAGTTCTCAAATGAATCATGACTTGTACATAAGCCCAAGGGTGATGGGGAGCTCAGCCTGGGACCTGGAGTCTGGTGACTCCACAGGGTGCCATTCACACTTCCTCAGGGTGCTAGAGGAGGGAGGATGGAGCTGCATGGGCAGCCTGGCAGACACCAGGGTCCTTGGAATGGGGGGCGATGGGCGTGGGAGGAATGTGCTCCAGTTCTGCATCTCCCTCTGCTGTGTCCTCTGTGACCATTCATCAGCCTGGACAGACACAATGCTGATGCCTACCGGGATCTTGCGGTCTCATGGCACCAACAGCAGACCTACCTCCCAGAGCCAGGCCTAAGGGCCAAGGCCAGTGGGCTCCAGGGTGATCCTGGGGCACACCCCAGCTTTTTCCAGGCCTGAGACACTTCACAGGCCACCTGCTGCCTGAAGCAGATCGAAGGCAGCTAGGGGGCCCGGGACCCCCATCAGGAGCCTGCGCACCAGCAATCTACCCGGGGAGGTGAGGCCTCGGGTTCTCACAGCACCTTCAGGTATCTGACAGCAAGGTGAGGTGGAGGGCACCACCTGGCCACCATCCAAGGACCAGGCTGGTGTGAGGCACAATGAGGTCAGCCTGACAGTGGCCCCTGAAGTGCAAGGTTACCCCCACCTTTGAACAGCCATCCCCAGCAAGTCCAGGACAGGGAAAAGGCCTTGGGGTGGGAGGGTCCCAGTTCACCTTGGCTCCGTCAAAATGAAGCATATACTTTACAGGTTACCAGTGGGGCCCTCTGACACCACAGGCCTTACCTGGGGGCCATCCCTAAGGTCAGACCACTCCCTTCCCCAGGAAAAGGCCATTGGGCTGGGTCAACAGGACCCACAGCAGGGCCCCCAGCGACACAGCAGTCACCTCTGTGCAGGGAAGGCCCTGCGGAGATCTGCTGAAGGCAAATGAACCCCTCGGGATGGCGCGGGCAACAGGCCTGCCAGCAGGGCTCCTGGGCAGGCCGGCTTCCCCACCCCCAGACCCTCCCACAAGCTTAGCCACAGGGAGGACGCATTAGGTGTGTGTGGGAGGGCATGCCAGGCACACCCACCTAAGAGCCTGCCAGCTCCCCTGCCTGCCCTGAGCCATCCTACAAGGGGTGACGCTCCTGGTCCCACAGCCAGCTGTGCAGGACACTGTACAGACGGGGGACGGGGTGCAGGGGCAGGACCTGCAGAGGGCAGAGTGCGTAGCCCCTCATGTCACAGGAACCACCTCCCCACAGTGCAGTACCCTGCCCTCCTGGTCAGCCCAGAACCCCCGAGGCCTCCCTGGGAGCAGGCCTTGCCTGCCCTCTGCTTCGGAAAGGGGGGCTGCACTACTGACTCTGAAGTTGCCTCGTTTCCTGTCAAAAAGCTGCTACATGCCCCACACCTAGTTCCTGGTGAAGACCTGGCATCGGCTGAGTGGCAGTTGCCGCACCTCCAGCAAGATGGGCGCTGCCTAGAACCCCCAGGGTACTACTCTGAGGTTCTCAGGATGGGTGCCGGTACACAGCAGACCCCAACAATGGTCTGCAGATCCTCCCATCCCACCGGTGCTGAGGGTACCAGGAATGGGCCTTGCTGTCCTGAGCCGGCCTCCCTAGCCAGCCAGCAAGCTGACTCCACACTGCCCAGGGCGGCTCAGCCACACAGCACTCAGCGCACACCGCGCCTAAACCATGTATTTTTCTCTGTAGCATCCAAGGGGCGTGCGTGTTAACTCGTGGTGCATTCCGAGTCCATCTCTAGGGCACCTTCCCTGGGGCTCTCTGGGGCAGCAGCTGCCCCTCCCTTCACGTCTCCAGAGGTCCACCCATCTCCCAGGATGGCGTTAGCCATGTGGTGCTGAGCTGCTCCGGCCGGAGGCTGCTCAGGAAGCTGGGCCGGCCATGGGGCGGAGTGGCCGGGGCCCATCAGGTCCCAGGGACCCGTCCACAAGTCCTTTGAGACGCCTACTCCAGAACCACAGTGCCGCCCACCGCCTCCAGGGCTGCCTTGATCTTCTCGGCCTCGGCCTTGGCCACGTTGGCTCTGATCTCCTGGGGCAGGGATTCCACCAGCTTCTTGGCCTGTCAGAGAGCAGAGTCAGGAACCCGGCCCAGGCTGCTTCAACCAACCTGTCCCAGGAGGGCTGGCCTGAGGGCTGCGGGTGGCAGCGGTGGGTGGTGCAGCAGGTGGAGCCTCACCTGGACGAGGTTTATGCCCTGGACGTAGTTCTTGATTTCCTTGATCAGCTTCACCTTGTCCACAGGCTTTGCCTCTGTCAGGCGGATGGTGAAATGTGACCGTTCTTTCTGTTTGGGGATGTCTTCTTCTGCCACCTGAGGGACAGGGGAGGGGGGTATTGGCAAGGTGAGTGAGGATGGGGCAGGGCGTGTTCACTCCTGGGCCGCTCTACCCTGGAGCTCCAAAGGTGCGGCCTGGCAGCGCCTGGGGACCCAGCGGGAAGCCACACCTGCTGGCCTGTCGCGCCGCAGGCACTCTCCCTCACACGGCCCTGATTGAGACCAGGCTGCAACACCACGCATCGTCCCACCTCTCTGGAGGCTGTCCAAGCCTGCCTCACTTCAGTTTCCCCATTCCTTAAAAATGGTGATTCAGGAGCTGGGTCAGGGTGACATCCGCAGGCTTTGCAGGGAAAAAGTCACAGGAAAGCACAGCCGCTCTCAGCCAAGCCTAGTTATGTGTCAATGACAACCAGTGTCAGCTCCTTCGGCAGGTGACCTACAGGGCACCCGGGCACGATGGGGCTTCTGCTGCTGTGTGAAGCCCACAGCACCAGTGGGAGAGGGGCCACCTGGCCTAGCTGGTCTGGATATGCTGTCCAATTATCACCAGCTTTCTCAAATTATCTCAAAAGCATTCCCATTTAAACAATCAATTACACTGTACTCCTTCCTTGCCCTCAGTGTTCAGCTGAATCTGGTCATCCAGTAAAGCCACCTTCCAGTGCATGGGGCAGGGGGCAGATGATGTGAAACCATCAGACACATGTGGAGTGTGGGAAGTGCTACAGGACCACTGACCTGGCTTCCTCAGTGGGAGATGCTGGGAGAAGGGGGCTGAGGGCAGTGACCCAGATCTAAGAGACTGAGGAGACCCAATGGCCAAATGCCACACACAGAGCTTGTCTGGGCTTGGGTAAAAGAACATTATCAACAAAGTCTAGGACTGTTAGTGAAATCCCAATAGGCCTTGAAAGGAAATCACGGCTACTTATGTTCATTGTGTTAATGGCTATGTTTAGGGAGGTGTGCTGAGGCAAAGAGCAAAGGGCAGAGGGGCATCTGCTTTAAGCATCAAGACACAGGTACAGCAGATGGGGAAAAACCTTAATACCTACTGAGGCCAAGTGACGAACATATAGATGGATAATTGCTATTATTTGTACTTGCAAAGAAATCTGAAATTTTCCATAACAAAACCTGCAACCACACCTCCCCCACACATTTGTGTGTGCCTTGAAGTCCGCGGGGTTTCTTGGGGAGACCCACAGCTGCCCATCACTTCCCCAGCTCTGCTCAAGCCACAGACATGCCACGTGGCCCTTGTAGCCTCTGCCGGGAAGGCCTTTCTCTTCCTCCACTCCTCACATTTTCTCCCCAAGTGCCACCTCCTCATTGCAACCTTGGAAATTGTAGCCTTCTCTTCCCCTTACGCTTCCCCCCTGCTTTTCCCCAGAGTACACATAACATTCTACACTACTGAACATAACTTCTTTCTTTTTCCTTCATTTGGCTCTTGGTTCGCTTCCCTCTGCAAGAAGTGGGGTCTCCATGTGGGCAGGGATGAAGTACCAGGGAGGCCGCAGGGGACCCAGTGTGTGACTGAGGAAGGACTGAGTTGGGGTGCAAGCGGTCTGACCACGTGGTGTGAGGCAGGCTGGGACCCTAGCCTGGGCTCACCTCCGGGGCCGCTGCAGCAGAGGCAGCACTGGGCATCACACCTCCCGCCTGCATGAGTCCGATATCCTGGATCTTCAGCGTTTTCTGCAGGAACATAGGACAGCAGTTTCAGTAGCTGCCTGTCACACCCAGAGACCCTCAAAGACAAGCCTGGCAGTCCTCACACTCAGGGAGCACACTTTCGACGATGCACCACACTCGCCAAAGGCACCAGGAGCAAGACACGGGCCCACATTTCGCTGCCCAGGTTCAGGCCTGTGATACCTTCAGGAGCTCGTTGAGGTCTGAGATCTCTAGGAGCGTGAGGCTGGCAATGTCCTGGACCAGCTGCTGGATCTTAGGGGGGTACTCCTTCGGGGCGTTATCCAGTGGTGCACCAGCGAGGGCCTCCCCCCTTCGATGGCTGCTGCACCTCATCAGCCTCACCGCGCAGACACAGGGCACCTGTTGCCTTGCCCCACTATTCAGACAAACGGTCACCCTGGCACGAGGGGGACATAGATCGAGCAGTTAAGTAGGTGCCATGAGTTCAGATTTGGTTCTATGGTCCCAACCCAGGGTTCTGACTCGGGGGTCCACATGGATGACAAGGGGATCTCTCAGCTACTCATGTTCTTCAAAGATCCTTAGAATCCACACAATTGTGTGCAGACATGCTACCCACGTTGTTTCCGGTTTGAATGAACTGTACCAGCCCACGTGAATAAGGCGGTAACTTGAAGGCATTCTGCTGCATAAGGCCTTTCAGAACCTGGGGCCCTTGGCGGCGAACGCCGGATCCACTTTAAGGAGCCCTACCACCTCACTGGGGGGCAGAGGAAACTGAGGCTCGGAGAGGGGCGGGGACCCGTCCAAGGTCATCCCAGGCCACACCCGCAGTCTCCGCGGCCCGCGGGGTTAGGGGTCAGCACGCGGACGCCCTCACGCCCCCCAGATTCGCCGGGACTCGCCGAGGCGAGGGGGCGCCTCAAGCCCGTCACCTGCGGACGCCTAGTGCCCGGCCGGCGGTCCCCCCGTGCGCCCTTGCCCCACTCTCGGAGGCCCGAAGTACCTGGCGAGACGGAGCGCGGCGCCCCGAAGGCCGAGACACGGCCCCCATAGGGGGCGAGCGGCCGCCGGCAGCATCGGTCCGCGGGCGGGAAGGTCACACGCGGCTCCCCGGGCGGAGGGACGCTCTAGCCGCCGAGCAGCGGAGCATACGAGCTAGAGGCGGGCGCTCTAGCCGCCAGGATTACCGAGCATACGAGTTACGGGCGGACACTCTAGCCGCCTGGGCCGAACATACAAGTTGGGAAGACGCTCTAGCCGCGCCTTGCACTTGCCTCCTCTTGCTCCCCACGATTACCCAAAAAGGGAGAGCTGCGCAGGCGCAGAGGCTCGATGCCGGTGACCAGGAGTCAGGCTGTGGCCCGCACTGTCCTCGCCCTGCGGGGCGGAGGAAGACCAAAGGAAGCTGAGGCTTGGCGCCAGGCTCCGTCCGAGTGCGGTAGGCTGGCCTGGCCCCCGGCCAGGGACAACCTCCGGGACCCTTGACCATACTGGACAGCGCAGTGACCACTGTCGCCCGCGCAAGCGTCAGTCGGTGGTTTTTGGCTGGTGACGTCTGCCCTGCCGCAGGGCGGGCACGAGGGTCCGGATGCCCTTCCTCAGCTGGCCACGCCCGCCCGCAGCCTGTGGCACGTAGCACGGGGTGACCCCGCTGCTCTCTCCGGTTCCCTCCCCCTACGACTGCCTTCCCGTCAGCACAGGAGCGAGGCCCGGTCAGGGCTCGGGATTCTCTGCTTACAGCGTTTGCTACGGGTGGTGACAGAGCCCTGGTAGGGTCCGAATGATGGGGTCCTGGGCGGAGAGGCCGGTCTTCATCTAGAACAGCCTCTCTAAGCCCTGGCTGGCTCCAACTGCCGAAGTCCTCTGCACTCCCGTCCGCTTCCCTTCGGGCTCGCGGTGTCTTCGGCCCAGGTCTCTGCAGCTCGGTCCCCAGGCCCTCTGCCAGCGTCTGTAGTGAGGGTCCGGAGGCCTTGCGGTTTGTATGTAGCGTGCAGTCTCCTCTCCCAGTTGTCCCAGGTACCACAGATGGTTTTCCTAGTCAGGGCTGGGGCAGTCCCGACTTCAGGCCAAACTGAGAAAGCAGGGTTGCCCTCTGCCAAGCATGCCCCTGTTATCCTGGCTCTGCCTTTAACTGGAGTTCAGGTAACCTCTGTGCCTGATAAACTAGTTCATTCCTTCGTAGAAGAGCTAATGAAATGCTGACGCCACCTAAGGTTTGGGTGTTTTAAGGTGTATGAAATGTTCTGAACTCTGGGTGCCAGAGGCTGGAGGTCTGTATTAAACATTTCCCTCTAGACTACCAACTCTTAGGTTGTAGTCTGCAGTCAGACTAGAGTAGTGGGCCCCACGGGTCTCTCCCAGGAGTCAGGGCAGAGATGCTTGGCTCCCCATGAACACAGCTCCACGGACACTGCTGTGGAGCTGCAC